GGCCGGCCCTAGTGCCGTCTGTTTTTAAGATCCATTACCCTCAAAATGACATTCAGTCTCAGATTTGTTAACTTAACATTCATTTCAGAACGTATTTATTGGTGGACCCCAATGAACGAGAAGAACGTGTAATGGACGGCTTACTGGTGATTGCCGTGAACAAGCATCGGGAGATTTGTACCATCCAATCCAGTGGTGGGATAATGCTACTAAAAGATCAAGTTAGTGCTCTGGTTAATGTCTCATTAAGAATAGGTCTCTTCTCTTTAGAAGCTTTTTCTTTTACCCAAAATCCAATGAGGATAGTATCAATGATTGATTCTAGGATGTGTTAGAACCTGGTTTCAGTATTATCACTACATTCTGTTGACTGGTGATGGGAGGTATCCTTGCTGCTCCCATGTCTGGCCCTCCAGAGCCTGACTCTTCTAACTAGAGGAACAATTTTTTTTGTCCCAGTGAAGAAAGAGATTCATATCCCTATTTTTCTTTGGAAAAAAAAAAATCAGAAAGTACTAGAAATTAGATAAAAGGATAGTTTTACTTTTAGAATATGGGTTACAATAAGCAGTAGTTCTCAGACCCAGCTACATAACAGATTCACATGGGGGCTTTTAGAAAATAGATTGCCATGTAGCATGTAGAATAGTGGTTAAAAGCACAGGGAGCTGCTTTAGTTCAAATTCTACCTCTGCTTTATACTACTAATTGACCTTGGGCAAATGATATCTTATCTTTGGGCCTGTTTCTTTATATGTAAAATAGGGAATGATATTATTTATACCCTGTTGTTAGAAGGATATAAGGATAAATATAGATATATTGCAGTGTCTAGCATATATTAACTGTGCAATAAATTTTAGTTTTTGTTATCATTGTCATTATTACCAGCATTACGACCACTACGCAGATTCCTATTTCTGTGTATCCCTGAGCTTAATGATGTTTGTGGCTTCTTCAGTGGTTGTTATCTTTTACACTGTCACGTAAGAAAGATTTCGGGTCCGTTCTGTTGATGTGATAGTCCTTCGAATATTTTAAAATAACTCTTACGTCTTGCCTCAATTTACATTTACATTGTATTATTTTCATATTTTGGGGAAAAAATTCAGGCTTAAGTTATAAAAGTAGAAAAATTAATCTTGTGGTTTTAGTTTAGTTAGACAAAGCCATTTAGATTGTTGTCTTTAAATAACAGAATTCACTTTTATAAATAGGTTTTGAGATGCAGTAAAATAGCTGGTGTGAAAGTAGCAGAAATTACAGAGCTAATACAGAAAGCTTTGGAGAATGACCAGAAAGTTAGGTAAGTTTAATTTTTTCAGAATGAAAAGTTCTTTTTATACATTTTTTTTTCTATTCAGGGCCTTTCTTGCATAAGGGCAACCACATAGTTTTTCACACTTGATTTTTCTTTAATCTCAATTGAATATTGAAAGTAGTTTGGACTCTATTATATTTTATTCCAATTTAAAGATGTATTGAAAAGCCACATAAAGTCTTTCTTTAAAAGTAACATTTTCTTAGAAAAAAAGAATCTAGTAACTCAAATTAGTGTAAAGAACACAAATGGGGGTTAATTCCCATCTCTACTTCTTACTATCTGATCTTAAGCAAGATTTATAACCCAGCACTTCAGTGTCCTTTTCTGTATATGGGAGGTTAATGCCTACCTGGTAGGGCTGATCTGAAGATTAGAGAATAATATACTTTAAGCACCTAGCACATGCCTGGCACACGGTTCAATAAATGATAATTATAACTATTTTTATTATTTCTTGATAAGCATAATAAACTGGTGAGGTTAAGTTAGTCAAATAAACTGTTTTCCGATATTTCTCATCTACTAAAGAATAATTTTTCTTCCTGTTCTCTCCCATCTATCATCATTAACCTTACCCCACTTCTCCCCGCAAAAAAAACCAAAACACCACATACAGGAAAGAAGGTGGAAAGTTTGGCTTCGCAGAGTCTATAGCAAATCAAAGGATCACAGCATTTAAAATGGAAAAGGCCCCTATTGATACCTCCGATATAGAGGAGAAAGCAGAAGAAATCATTGCTGAAGCTGAACCTCCTCCAGAAGTGTATCTTTTTTGGATGATTTTTGCAGTAAAAGAAAGATTCTTAACACTTTTGACCTTACATTAAGGCTGTATGAAGGGTGTGCATACTGAAATTTGTTTTCTTTTTTTTTTTTTTTAAAGATGACCGGTAAGGGGATCTTAACCCTTGACTTGGTGTTGTCAGCACCACGCTCAGCCAGAGAGCGAACCGGCCATCCCTATATGGGATCTGAATCCGGGGCCTTGGGTGTGATCAGCACCGCACTCTCCTGAGTGAGCCATGGGCCGGCCCCTGAAATTTGTTTTCTGAGGCGCATACTTTGTTAGAGAGAACACTTAAGATGCAAGACAGTGATGTGAGTTATATTAAGTTGATATAGCCAGCTTCTCTTCAGTTAACCTGCAAAAACCAGAAATTTCTCTATTTTAAGCATCAATATACAGCATTTTATTTTCCCCTGAAAAACTGGTCTTTAATAAACACCTTGTACACTATTATACATTGTTCTTGAAGTTATTCAATCACTAAATTTATTACTACAAATGTTGAGCCTGTCCCTTGATATTTCTTACCATTGTGTCTACAAAATCTTGCATGAGTTATACATTTTTTTTTCTTAATCATAGTTTAGTGACCCATAGTATATGGCTTTATTATATATTTTTCCCTAAGAACTTGAGGCACATTTAAATCAATCTTACAAAAAGGAAACTTTCATTCTCATCTTTTCATCAGTCCATCAAATAGCAGTATTTTTGTTATTCAGTTTTCTTAACTTGCTAAGTGTTTCTAAACCTGTGCTGTGGACTGCTGGAACTGCCCAAATTGGAGAGGGAGTAGAAAACTCCTGGGGTGATATTGAAGACTCTGAGAAGGAAGATGAAGACGAAGGTGGCAGCGATGAAGCTATCATTCTTGATAGTATGAAAATGGACACTGGAGTAGAAGTCTCCGGCACTGGAAGTCAAGGTAAGTGATACTTTATGGGTTTTATGTGATATGGATATACGCATATATTATACAGATTCTTATGTATGTAGATAATACATACTGAATATTAACTATGTATAGATATGTAACATAGAAGGGCTAAATGTTTTGAGATTTAAATTGCAGTTAAACTTTTGAGGCTGTAATATTGATGACAATCTTTTCTAAAAACTTGCTTATCTTTTCGGAGTAGTGGTACATTTGGGCATGTAAAATGATAGTGACACTTTTAATTAAGAAATGTTTTGCATCTATATCCAGGCCAGTTTTATGGGGATGTTTCCTGAAGTTCTCATTCACATATGCTGTCTTTTTTTGTAGTTTCTAGACCCAAACATAAAAAGTCTGTATCATAGAGTAATACTATCTAAATAGAATTTTCTGTGATGATACAAATGTTATCCTGTGTATAGCAGCCACTAGCCCCATGGAGCTGAACACCTGAAATTTGGCTTATGTGAATGAGAAACTGAATTTTAAATTTTATTTAATTTTCAATAATATAAAATTAAATAGCCACATGTGGCTAAGTGGCTGCCACATTGGACAGTTTAACATTAGGACATACAAATTCTAGAATTGCCTGGTAGTCTTAGATGTTCCTTGTATTCTGAAAGCTGCTGAAGAAATTTTTTATTTATCTATAGATTTTTTTTTACTTTTGAGAAACCATTCCTGCCAGGTCCATATAAAGTCATGAGTTGCTCTTTTATATAGTAAAAACAAATCATACAAGGATCTAGAAACTAGGCTGGCAGGGACTTATAGGATGCACTTACTAAATCTGGTTGAGGAAAACATGTGAGACTGTTTAGGAGTGTAATGCACATACCACCTGCTTTAAAGGAGGGAAATTATTGCCTATCTGTGTGGAAATGAGTTTTAGAACCTCTGCTGTGAACTTTTGTGGAAATTTTCCAAGATGTTGCTTATATTGCTTTCTTAACATTTTCTTAAAGATGCCCCTATAGTACTCTCAGATAGTGAAGAAGAAGAAATGATCATTTTAGAACCAGACAAGAATCCGAAGAAAATAAGGTAACAAATTTCTGGCTTTCAGAGGCTTGCTCTCTGGTTTTACTCTCATCTTACTCTACCACTATAAACAAAAAGACATCCCTTTTTTATTATATGTCCACCTGTTCTTTTTGTGGTTCCTGCACCCTATGATTTATAAAAATTGGGACCTAATTCTATAAAACTGTTTGAATGAATGACTTTGAGTTACTGTATTTTACTCTTATAACTGCCACATTTTATATCCTACTGGAAAAAATAAGGAAGGCCTCCTATTTCAGTGATGCAAAATTTAATAGGCATATTGTTAGTAAACTGTTACTTTACTTTATTCACAGAACACAGACCATCAGTGCAAAAACAGAAAAAATACCAAGTAAAAAACAATTGAAAAAGAGAAAAAAGAAGAGAGCTGCTATGTTAAAGCTAACATAATTGTATATTTGTATACATAACTATTAAAAGGATATTTATTCAGTGCTAACAACCCTGGGTATTTTTTACTCACAAATCCATTATAAAATCTAGGGCTTTTAATACATTTTGTTTTGTTTTACATTATGCTTTAAAATAAACTTTCTGGAGAACTTCTTTTCTGTTAATTTGCACAAAAGCTTCCCACCCCATCCATACCTCTGTTGAGTAAACCATAACAGGTTTTAAATAACTGACCTGGGTAAAGTGTTAAAAAAGTCTGAGGATCTTTACTGATAAATAAGCACAGGTTTATTCTAGGTATTGTTAGAGTATGCCTGAATCAGCAAACTGGTCCAGTTGCTTATTAAAATGTCAGAATTTGTTTTCCTAAAACTAATTTTAGGGGCAGGCTTCCCTTAGTCTCCATTGTACAGTAAACCTAGTTAACTTTTCTAAGTGAAATCCTCAAGAAGTCAGACTTTTACCTTTAATTAAATTTGACTTACAAACAGTTTTCCAAATCAATTTATTAATTATTATCCTGACAGCTGGCCTCATTAATGCTTTAATAAACATTTAAAATTAGCCACATGTCCAAGATAGATACATGTACAAAAGATATACAAATTAAAACCATTTAATAAGTAATAGATACCATAATTTGTACTTGGCCATAACTTCTATATTCAGAAATGATTGTAAAATTAAAACCTAAGGTAAAAACTGTATGTACACCATATATTTTGAGTGATTCATATCTTAGAAAACAAAGGCAGTCTTTTATTGTTACACATTTAGTTTCTCTGGTGGGTTGAGGAGAGAAACACCATGATACCTGTTAAGTAGAAAAAAAAATCATTTTTAGTAAACATTCATTGGGTCATGGGATAAAACATGTACCAGGAACTCAAAAATGATATTTTCTATCTATCTGATTGTGTTGATGGTTTTAGAATCATTGTCTGGTTCCCAAAACATGCATGCATGCCCCCATCCTCCCACTCTATTCTCCCCCAGATGCAGAACAGAAAACATTAACTACAACCTTCTCCAAACATAGTACATATTAAGAGGACAGCTTCTTAAGGAGCTGTGGCAGATTAGTATGTCCTTTAATAAAGAAAAAATGTCAAAGACCTCTGAACATATTCTGGAAAAGCAAGATCTATTCAAGTTGATTCTTACTTTGAACTTTTGTACTTTTCTCTTATTGACTGTTGTGCATGCTGTGGTGCTTTGAGGTAGGTCTGGTGAAGGTCCATGAGACAAGGCTTAAGACTTTCCAGGGTATATCCAGTCTTATGTATTAACGATTTAGGCTAGAGAGAAGAGAGAAGAGAGCCACTGAGTTTTTTCTAACAGATACAAGTTAATATTTGGTATTAAGCATAAGTTATATTGGTATTAAGCATAAGTTATATTAACTGTCAGTACTAATCTTCAACACCTCTGATATTCTCAGGCCATTATTCCATCTCTTTTATGCTGATTTTGATCCATCTTTACTACTTTCCCTGCCAGCAGCAGGTCATGTGACTTCTTTAAGCACACCTTAAATCCAAGTTACAACTAAGCTTTCTGCTTAACAGATGTTATTCAACATGCAAGATTCCTTAAATAATACATGTATTTGAACAGTTTTTCCATGTAAGAACATTTAGGCAACCATCAGTTCTACACAATTATTTAACTTACTTGGCACAAGCATTTCAATAACAAGATAAATGTGTATAGACAATGTAATACATACCCAGCTTTGTCCTGTTACTGTGTAGAGTGCTAAGTGAAAGGCCGCTCCAGCAATAACTGATGGCAAATACTTTAGGTATGGATCGGCATCTATCAAACTTAATTCTCCCAAAAACTGGAATGAAAAGTACTTATTATAAGAGCTCTAGAATTCAAACTTCAAATTCTCACCTTATGACCTAATTTTTTCCTGTCTTTGATATTGGCTCTGTAAAAAATATTCCATGGCCTCATCTTTAAACATATTCACCATCTTATTAGTGTTTTGCTCCACTCTCACCCTGTATTTTTCCTCCTTTAGTAACTTAAAAAAAAAAAAAAAAAAAAAAACACAAAACTATCTCTCCCAAGACTTTATCCTCATACCACTACTCCCAGTGCTTTCCTAATATGTATTATCCTTTGCCAGTAGTAGGCTTTTTTCCAGACTGCAGCATTAATGTGTCCCTGGAGTACTACATCTCTTCACCAAAACTGTACAATAAAACTAGGGCTTGCCCTTAATTATTACCTAAGAATTTCCATTCAACAAAATGAAAGTGACTTACCATTGCTAAGCTTTCAACTTTGCAGTTTGCAGGCTGTTGATGCAGAAAGTATTGTGTAAGAAACTGATTTACTGTTGGTGCAGCTAAATCAAAAGTAAGGACTTTCAAAACCAGATGCTCCATTCTTAGAACTTGTTTCTTAGTATAGGTGTCATCTGTAATGTACACAAACTCTGCTACTTCTGGGGGGTATATTTCTTCAAACTTTCTACAATGAAAAGAGTTTTATGTAATCAGTCCTTCTAAAAGAAAAGCAAGCTTCCTTATTCCAATTCTGAAATACCATTAGCAGAATATATGGAATGAATCCAAGACCCATGCTCTCCACCCACCTGCATTTCCACTAATACCTAACATCATTTCTAGTGGAGACTGGATAGCTAATTGCTCATTAAAAGGCCCAAGTCAATAATGACTTCTGAGATATTTCTCCCAGGAAAACAAATGAGAGGCACGAGATTTTCTAAGGTAGGAACAACGCCAGAGTTTATCAAGCAGCTGAACATTCAGGAAATACAAGTCTTAGGAAAATAAATATTTTGTTTTTGTTTTCAAACTTAGCTTTAATGTCTTAATGGAAAGAAGATAAGACACTGCTTACATGCCAGAAAGCACTTTATTATGGAAGGAACCACATTTTTAAACTTTGTAATCTAGTCTCTGTTTTCTAAAATGTAGCCAGTCTCCATTTTCATTCAAGGAACCCTGGAATCCAGATCGGGGAAAATTAATGTTCTCAATTAGAAAACAGTTTCATCCTCCTCCTCTCTCCTCATCCCCTGTCATAGTGCTATCCCTAAAGTAGTCACTGACTCTGCTTTGTGTAGTATGTTAAAGTGTCACAGTTAAAAAACCACAAATTTATCCCTATACAAAAGGTAGTGATCACTTTTAATCAAATAAACCGAGTTGGGGGCTGGCCGGTTAGCTCAGTTGGTTAGAATGTGGTGCTGATAACACCAAGATCCAGGGTTTGATCCCTGAATTGGTCAGCTGCCCTCTCCCACCCCTCCAAAAACAATCCAAGTTGGACTTACGAGGCTAACAGCATAGCAGCAGTGCCCACAAGCTGAAGCTTTCCTCTTAGCACAGACATTGAAGAAAGGAACCTATCAATGTAGTTCACAGCCAAATGCAGTGTCTCATTCTGCAGTTTATATTCTTCTCCTACTTCAACTAACCAGTCCACCAAGATAGCCCTCATACTGTTAGTGATGTCTGGCTGTTTCTTCATGTAACCCACTTTAGGTTTACATTTAACCTGTTGAGAAAGTTATTTAGTAGTGTTAAAATTGCAAAAGTATAGAATTATAGTAATTCACTAGTAGTTAAAAAACTTAAACATTACCCTCTCAATTTCATTTAGCCACACTTAATGCAGTAAACAAAATGGATTCAGAGAGGCTTTACCTCCATTTCCCTAAGGTATGTGTGAATATCCTCATGGTAGTCCGGTACTTCATTAACACTCACTGGCTTTTCATCTTCTAATACAATTGACATGTCCATATTATGTGGTGACTCTGGGACAGTTCAAAATACATGATTAAATTAATTGCTTAATTCTCTATTTAACTAAAAATGACCACCCTTATAAGAAATCTCATACTACCAAAGCATTAATTTTGTCCAACTAAAAAGGGCTTCTCATGACAAAGTACATAGGATATTTTGCTCTGGTTTTGCTGTCTGTTAATGAGAAAAAGAAATATTGCTAGGCCACTATCAGGAAAACAAGGATTGAATATTATCTCAAAGTATCATTCATCTTCTATGATAAAAAAGAGCAGATGGCATGGTGGTTCAGTTAGGACAGAGCACTTAGAATCCAAGTTTTGAGATAATATCTAAGATTTGCCTTAAGAGAGACTATAGACCCCAGAGTCTGACATATTCAAAGCACAATTAGGCAATAGCTAGAATCTGAGTTAAATGATTTCCATTAACAAGTGTTCATGAGGTAATTAAGTTTGTTACAGGTTCAAGCAGATTGACACTGTAATCAATAAGTTCGTTTTTTGTAATTTAAATTATCTTTTGAGGCAGAGTATATCATCCATTATTCTTTTCACTTCAGAGATCACCTTAAGGTTAAAAACTTGTTGCAAAATTTGAATAAAAACACAAAATTATTTTCAAAGGACTTTCATGCTTACCCTCCCACCCCTAATCAATAAACTAAAATTAAAGCAAGATTGGATTTCGTGACTCAATAGCCCTATGGTAAAGAAACAGCACTATCTATAGGCAGAGCTGTCTATAGCAGCTACGCTACTTTACATATGGGTAAGGGCACACAACTGTGGTAATTGTACTTGTGGAAGGACAGTGACACTTTCTGGTATCAGATGGTCACCCAGACTGATTTTATAGAAACAAAATTTTAAAGCTGGAAGAAATATTAGATACCACAATATTTAAGAGTGTGTCCTCAAATACCACTCTCTGAAATGATATGTAAGTAGTGAATCTTATAAATGCAACTGAAATCTATTCTCCCAACCAAGCAAACATTTATAGGGTCAGATTAAAATAAATGTTCATCATCTGATTAAATTACTGTGATTGGCATTGTACCTGAAGGAGCACTGGAATAGGATTTTGTCTTTTTGTGTGTCACTAGGTCAGGTGTTAGCCATGAAATCTGAGATAAGTTGTACCCTTTCTAAGCTTGTTAACATTAAACCTAACTCACTATGTCAAAATGATCAGGTAAGACAGTGTCTTAAAATGTAAAGTATCATAAAGCCAATCTAAAAATTATAATTACTTTAATTCAATACGGATTTTCTTTAAGACTTACCAAAACTACCATCCATTGGATAATCAAGAGGTACCAGTGGTTTTCTTGGTCCAGGTAAAGTAATAGCTGAATTAAAAGCCAGGACATCTTCATGCTCTGTTTTTTGAGATTCAGTTGGCTTCTTTTGAGTTTTTTCTTCTGCTTCATCCACATGAATGGTGAATGTAGGCTGTTTATTGTTTGCTTTCCAAGGAGGAACAACGACATGCTCATCATTTATAGGGAGATCCTTAAGAGGTGCAACCTAAAAAGAAATTAATAACTGGCTATGAACCTATTAAATGGAATTTTACCTTCTTCCCCTTATGGGTCTCATAGTCTGCTTTTTCTCCCAAATACTCTATCAGGAAAATTAAACTTTCCGAGGCAAAGTCCAGTGAAAGAATAGTTTGAGTAGTCAGAGACAGAAGAGATGTTCCACTTTGTCAAAGACATTCCTACAAAGGCTGTAAAAAGTCAATACTAAGTAGAGGTACGCAAAACTAACTGAGGCCGCTAGAAGGGTGGGATGGCAGGCCAATAGATGACAAGTTTAGGAAAGAGATGGCAAAAAAGTGTTGGTTCACCACTCTTGCCCCAGGGTGGAGCAAAAGAGCAAATTCAGCTAAAATGGCGGAATTTATCAAAAGTAAGATACTTTGTTTACCCTTTCCTAAAGTAGAGGTAATCTCTTAACTAAATGATGAGGAGGAAGGGGAGGCTGGTCCCAGAGCAGTGCCTGGGGTTTAAAAGTGGAGAGAAAGGCACGAAACTGGACAAAGACGACACTCATGTTGAGGAAGATGCTTCCAATAGAAAGCAGACAGGCAGCATAAGCACATAGTTAGCGGGCGTCGTAATGCTAAAAATAAAGGGAGAAACCACTACTGTGGCATCCCATACTCCAGAAAACCAGGGACCAAGGTCGACTCCAAACCGGAGCCCCTCATAAAACGCCCAAAGAATCCTTTCTCCCCACTCTGGCTGTAAGCCCGTGCTCTCTCCCTCTCGGCCCACCCGCCTACAGATATATGGCATCCCTTTACCCGTCGCGTCTTGGGCTTCTGCTGCGGCGCTGGACCCCGCGTGTTCCCGGCCTTCAGTACCGCCAGCGCGGCCCGGGTCCGCGGCTGCTGGGCAGGCGCCGCCTTCTCCGGGTTGATGTTCTCCTGGTCCTCTTGGAGCGCCGTCTGCTGCAGCGTTAGCGGTGCCGAGCCCGCTTCGCGGGCCGCAGGCCCCGGCGCGGAGCTGCCCAACATCACTGCTCCCAGGGGCGTACGGCGGGATCAGCCTGCGGCGCCAAGCACCGTGCACTACGCCCCGCCGACCGGTCCCGCCAACCCCGCCGAGGAACTCTCCAGCCGTAGCCGCCCGCTGCAGCTCGGGCCAGCGTGCCCGCCCGCCCGCCCTCCAGCCCGTTCACCCAGCTCGGGACCCCGTAGGAGCGAGGGGCCGTGAAAGCTGCAGGCAGGCACTGCCGGCGTGGAGAACCAAAGATGACCCCGAGGTGTACCGAGCAGCCCGCCGGAGCGGCGGCTGTTCATGCAGTTCAAGTATCCCGCGACTATTGAAATAGGCCAATGGGAGAGGCCGAGGCTCCTGACGTCACTGAAGGCGACAGGGTCGCAGGCGAGTGAAGGCAGCCGGAAAGAGAAATTGAGCAGGGGCGGAGCGGAGAAATGTCGAACTGCGGCGGTAGAAAAAAACGCCTGCGCCCGGTTGAGGGGTAGGGGCATAAGGGGCCTGAGCTTCTGGTGACTTTAAACTGAGCCATCAGGCGATCCCCAGGCTCCGGGCAAGGGTGGTCTCTTAAATATTTTAGGAAAACGTAATTGAACTTTAACAAAACTATTAGTAGGCCACCCCAGCCTTTAGCCCTGGGACCTCTAGTTAGCTTGACGGGCTTGTTTCCCAAAGCCTAAAATCTGCCTTGGCCCTCACTGGCCTTGGCCAAGTTTATTCAGTATTTCCTGTTCTCTTTAACAGTTTTCTGTTAACTCCTATTAACAGTTTTCTTACCTGTTAATTGGGAGTAATAATATCTATACGTCGTACGGTTGTTATTAGGATTAAATAATGTGGAAAAATCATTTAACACTCTGCTCACATAGTAATACTCAACTGGCAGACTATAATGTCATCTTACCATTTAGCTGCTATTCACAGGCAGAAGTTGTCTTATGCTTTTATTTTTCCTAATGAAGACGCAATTAAGATGCCTCTTGAACTACTGTTGAATATATAACAAATAATGTATAACAAGAAATTCAAATAGACAGTCATCAATTTTTATCTATTTCCCCCAAGCTGGGGCAGCCAACAAAGAGAATACAGTGAAATTCTAGTGACCTAGATATAATTATATGTTCCATTTAGAAATAAAGGTTGTTTAAATAGAGTAAAAGCAATAACCTTATTAAAATAAAATTATCTTAACTATACGTGCCTTTAACAAATTTTTACATTTAATATACAAGACTTGCATATAACTAATAAATATAATGGTATATAATTAAGAAGCATTGTTTTCTGAAAAATTCATGTCTGCCCTTCTTGAAAACATAAAGAATAGCTATTTTCCGTTATATTTATGCCATTTTAAAACCTTTAAATACAATATTCCTTTGAAATGAGTAAATATTAATGAAAAGAATTTCCATATATTATCAAAAGAAGATTAGTGGATACTAGAGCAGGAAATTGTAAGAAATCACCACTATTTCTGCACTATTTACCTGTAGTATACTTGTATAGCTTGACTGGTTACAGCACAGCAAGTTAAGATCCCCCCATTCTGTGAAAGCTCTGCTTATTTTCCTGGCCATGATTTACATCACAGAGCCAAGTCAAGCATTTCACAAACTGCAGCAGAGTCATTAAACATTATACCAAGCAAAAGAGAAATCAGTTGCAAATCAATCCCAACTCCTAGAAAAAATAACTGGTAGGTTATTTCCACTGGAATGACGACATACACAGTAACCAGGACACAAACCAGATACCAGAACTTTGGTTCTGGTACCAGCTCTATAAAATACTAGTATGTCCTTTAAATCACATAACCTCACTGAGAATCAGTTTTCTTATATGATATGACAAACTTATAAAATCGTTGTTAGGATCAAATAAGGTAATATATAAAAATACACTTTGAAACTTGTAAAGCAGCATACACATTAACGTGTGTGTATACTTTCTAAAACATTTGGTATATTTTTATTTTTCAAATATTATTTCTCAATTTAAAAATTAAAACACCCACTTGCCAAAAATGCATTAAAATCTCTTATATAAGGGCTGGCAGGTTACTCAGTTGGTTAGAGTGTGGTGCTGATAACACCAAGGTCCAGGATTCGATCCCTGTACTGGCCAGCCACCAAAAAAAAATTAAAAAAATACCTTATCATTCGTGTTTGAAAAATAAAAATTCTCTTTATTTTTAAAAAGCTCCATTGCTAAAAAAAAAAAACCTCATTATATCTCAAATGTTTTTAGATGATATTAAAAAGCATTTGAAATAAAAGTATGTACAGTCAGCTTGTAAAGTCTGTTTTAACATTTTTCATTTAAACAGACCACTTCTTTGGGACTTTACCTTGTTTATATCTCAAGCCGCATCAAAGAAAGCAATCAATGCATTTTGGTCATAACTGTCCAGAATCTCCAGTAGAAGAGGTACTTTGGTTTTTACATTGGTGCCTTTGAACTTAAACTTATCTATGAAAAGATCGGTGATCATGCCTATAAAGAAAAATGTTAATTTCCTGTCATTGATTAGTTCTATTTAATGATACAATATTTAATGAAAGTGAGTAATCTATTTCCAAGCACCTTAATTCCATTATTTAACATATACAAACCTAAAAGAGTTGATGTTTAAAAAGTATATATATTTGGGAGGAATTTTAAGTTTCCAGATATAAATCATTTGGCTAATAAACCTCTTAATGATTGGTTACAAGCTATAAAATCAGACAGTCAACTGCTGGCCATTGTTGAACTGCTACTGATACATACTCGTATAACATCACAAGCGGTTTATTTTTCCTACTAAGCAGATCATTTTGACATAGTGCAGGCTGATTCTATTCTTAACGGCTTAATCTAAATTAAAATATTCCAACTATATGTTGACCACTTTTGTGGTTTCACTTGAAGGTAAATAGTTCCAGGTTCAAAGATCTGGGCAAATTATTTCACCTTTGCATTTTCTCATATGTAAAATAGGAATAGCTCAAACTGTCAATCCTTTATACAAATCCTTTGATGCAAGATTTATTTCAGAATTTTTCAGATTTTAGGAAATATATGGATGAATATTTGCACTATGTGGAATAAAAAAGATTATAAATAACCCCATGTCAGTTTAAGTCAGGTTTTGTCATTAAATTAATTCAGATAAAGTCAGATTTTGCTACCAAATGATTTATGAAAAATGTTTTTGTTTTCAAAGCTTTCTGGATTTTGAAATCAGTGATAAGAAATGATAGATCTGCATCACTGACCTCCTAAGTTATTATAAGGAGAAAACAGATCACGTGTTTGCCATATAGTAAACATTAAGATATTAGATATTATTGTTACTGTTTGTGAGAAAGTCTCTGGGTATGTAATAAGAAATTCAAGGGCCGGCCCGGTGGCGCACTGGATGGTGCGCCGCTTGGGAAGCGCGGCGGCGCTCCCGTCCGAGGGTTCGGATCCCACATGCAGACTGGCTCCCGCTCACTGGCTGAGCGAGGCGCGGGAGCAACACCGAAGAAATTCAATAGGCAAGCTTACGGATCAATGTGGATTTATGATACCAATTGGCTACAGAGTGAACATGAAGACTTGGCATAGTGTTAAAAGTATGCATTTTGGGGTGAGAAGGTTGTAATGCAGGCTCTGCCACTCATAGCTATGTGGCAACAAATTCCTTCAGTCTCAGATTTCGGTTAAAGAATATAAAAAAATGAAGATAACACCATCTACCTTGAAGAGCTGTTGTAAGGATTAAAGATCCTACCTGATTATGAGGATGGTATAAAAAAATAGTGTGCTATGTACAACAGGTTTTATGCAAAGGTCACTAACAAAATTGTTTTTCTTAAGCTGCTCCTTCTTTCCTTCTTTTTCTCTTCCATCCTCTCCCTTCCCTTGCTCTTTCTTTCTTTCAGTACAATTTGTGAAACACCCAACTTCTCGCCACCAAAGCAAAATGAGTTTTGAACTGTACACAGCATATATATCCCTTATTAACTTTTGCCTAAAAAGTATTAAATGCTGCATTTTTATATTTCACAAAAGCAACAAAACCTGAAAATTATTTGTGTGATATATAGTCTATCTAGGGCTCTATAAGTTATATTCATTTTACACCATGTTTCTTCATATATATAAATTCATTGCAGTACACTTGTTTCACTTAATTTTTACTTGTATTTTAGTGAGTAAAAATATTAAATATTAAAACTGGCTTGACAAAATACAGAAATAGTCCGTTCAATAAATTGGTTGTCACTGGCTCATGATTGCCTGTAATCTATGCCTCTTTCTGCCCAGCTTCTCTCACACGATCCTTGGCAAATAGCCTGTTGAAAAGACATATGGCTAGGTATTGTAGGATAGTCCACTGACCATAGAGTCTATCCAGGTGCGCAGATTGCTTTTTGTACTCTTCCTGTAGGTGATCTGCCTCTTCTAGAATACAGCGATATTCTGGTATCAGAAAGTCTGTATTTCCCTCATGAACCTGCAATTCCTTATTTAAAATTAAAAACAGAAGCACTTAATGTTCAAAAATTAATCCAGTGTAACATTCAATGTTTATAATTTTAGAAATCCCATTACTTAAAGTAATTATGATGAGTCGATGACATATATACTTACTTTTAAAGCATCAATTAACTGCACTTTCTTAGCCAAAAGCAACTGATATTCCAGCTTTGGATGGATTAGCTTTAAAGTGTGTTTGACCGATACTTCATTTATGTCTAGAAGGAGTTGGTCAGGAACAATTAGAGAAGTCACTTTGATGAGAAACATTATTATTATAACAACAACAAAAATCAGAAAGAATGAGTAAAAGTTTTCTTTTTTTTTTTTTTACCGTATGCTATGTTGAGGTTAATTTTCCTTTTTGTAGCTTCCTTAGAAAGCACATCTTTTAGGATGGATATAGTAGAAATGTTGTCAGATTTAAAAACTCCTTCTCCTTTTCTATAAAATTAATATATTTTTTAAAAGAAGAGTTGTAGAAGGAAGTGGTCCAGTAAATACATATTTTATGACTACTACTTGGTGTTTAGATTTCATTTGATTTTAGATTTCTTTGTAAACATATTTTATTAAAATGAAGCACATTTAAACATGTAATCCTTTACTATTACATTAATTCAGCTTCTGAACATATTTGTAAAATTAAACAAAAGATGCTAGATATATGCCTGTCAAAGATATGACAATTTATATAAGTAATTCATTTAATGTAACCCTTTTCTTCACTCTCATTAATAATATTTCCAATAGATAACCTCTTATGTATAAAATGCATTTAGAATGGCTTACTTCATAATAAGTATGTTTTCCTTTGATGTAATCACACAAATTACAGCTTCAACCTTGAAAGAAATCTGATAACAAACCCAAAAGAGTGACATCTGCTGTTTTTCCATGCCCAGCACCCATTGCCACTGCTTATGCCCACAGGAGCCTTATTTTTCTTTAAGGAACCATTCCTTCTCTCTTTCTCTCTCTCCCCATTCTCAGTCCATAGTTTCAGTAGCAATGGCTTCAATCCATTTCTAGGACTTCAGGAGGAAACACTTAACAGTACATTCCATACCCCCAACTACAGTGGTTCATGGCTAGACAATGATATTCAGTCTTGGGACTTTTACTAGAACTAGTGGGAAAGAGGCTCTATGGCAGCTGAAAAGATAGAAGGCTGGATTCCAGGAGCTATTAGTCACCACCATGCCACTACATGGTAAAGCCAAGAAAAGACAAAAGTAGAACTGAGCAATGGGAAGGGATAAAGTCTTGGTGGTTTCAGAGAAGCCACTAATCCAGTTGTACCTGAATCAGATTACTGCTAGTCTTTTAAGTTACGTGAGCTCATAAATTCCTTTTATTTGGTTAAGCCTGCTTGCATTTGGTTCTTTTTTATGATGACCAAAATTTTCCTAATTAGGCTGGCTGGTTAGTTCAGTTGGCTAGAGAGCAGTGTTATAACACCAAGATTCAGATCCCCATACTGGCCAGCTGCCAAAAAAAAAATTTTTTTTTTATATTGACTAGCTGTAGGCAAATGCTAATTGTTTTTTCTAGAAAGATAAATAATACACCCATACTATTTTGATCCCAATTATGTTATTAGTAATTTAGTAATCATGACATTTTCACTGGTCTTTAATCTTAACAGAAGATATATTTAGCAAACACACTGCCAGGCACTGTGGAATGACTCACATGGTTTATCTTCTTTTAATCATCACAACAAATTCAATGAAGTGAGTGCTATTACTTCCATTTTTTGTAAGAGAAAACTGAAGCTTAGAGAGTTAAGTAACCAGCTAAGGTCACATAGCTTGTGAGTCACAGAGCCAAGATTCAAACCTAAGTATGTCTGTCTTCAAAGCACATGCTTCTATACTACCGCCACATACATGTATTTTATTCAGGTACCCGAAAAACAATTATTGAGCACCTACTTTGTGTAAAGCCGTGTGTTAGGTACTTGGAGGATACATACAAAGATAATTAAAAATAGACTGCCCATGAGACAAGCTCACATAAAAATTATCATATACTTCAAGCAAATAACAAATACCAAAGACAGGTAAGGACAAAATGCTATGGGAACAGCAGAGGGAATCAAGGAAGTCTTCAAAAATGTAGCGATTAAGTTCGGCCTTGAAGGATAAACAGAGTTTTGACTGTTAAAGAGAATATTTAAAGAGACAGAATGGTAAAGAGCATGGGTAAAAATACATAATATGCTAGGCACATGTTGAATTATCTGCTGTGATTCAAATATGAGGCTAACTGTGGCACTTCACAACAGGAGAAATTATTTCAGATTTAGACAGATATAAGCTTCCCTGGAGGGTACAGTGGAACACCTCCATAGAACTGATGCTAAAACCCATTAGATTTCTGAAGAGTTCTTGGTCCCAAAAAGTTGCATTCTGAGGTAAAATTATGTGTTCACTGCTGTTTCCAGAACTTAGCATAATAAAGACTCAACTAGGAAGCAGGAAGTAGAACACCTCAATTATCTGCTCAGGAGCAGAAGCAGAGAGAAGAAAAGATCTCTCAAACAAACAAAGCAAAAAAAACCCCCCAAAACAAACAAAAACAACCTATAGATGTGAGAAAGAATGAAAA